TTTAATTGGGCGGCCAATTAAACTTTAAAGATTTTAAGGATTTTATAAAATTTAATTTGGGGGGGCTGGGCTGGAGGCGGTGGTCTGGAGGCCGGAGGCCCCCAATTAAATTTTATAAAATCCTTAAAATCTTTAAAATTTAATTGGGCGGCCAATTAAATTTTCAGGATTTTAAAAAATTTAAGGGCATTTAAATTTTTTAAAATTATAAATTAAAAGGCCAATTAAATTTTAAAGATTTTTAAAGAAAATTAAGGGCATTTAAATTTTATAAAGTTTTAAATTTTAATTGGGCGGCCAATTAAATTTTAAAGAATTTTTTTACAAAATTAAGGGCATTTAAATTTTATAAAATTTTAAATTTTAATTGGGCGGCCAATTAAATTTTAAAGATTTTAAGGATTTTATAGAATTTAATTGGGGGGGCTGGGCTGGAGGCGGTGGTCTGGATCAGTATACTATACAGAGAGCCTATCGCCAAATAATACATAAAGGTCTTTCGTACTTAGGGTTAAGGGTTTAGGGTTTAGGGTTTACGATCCTAAGTACCTACCCATAGGCTCCATAGTAGTTCCTTTTTGGGATCACCTTATAGGATCCTAAATACAAACCACAAAGAGGAACTACTATGGAGCCTATGGGTATATGGTAGAATGTAGGGTTTCTATAGGAATTACGAATATGATTTAGGGAAGTAGTCCCCATAACAGCACTTAGGACCCTTTGGGTTTGCAACGAAGCGCAAATCGCTTAGGGTTTACGGCTCCCAAACGGTGTATACCCATAGGCTCCATTGTAGTTCCTTTTCGGGGTTTTTATTGAGATTCTATATAAGGTAATCCCAGAAAGGAACTACAATGGAGCCCATGGGTACTTTGTCTTTGGAGTAGTCCCTGTTTAAATGCATTAGGACCAAAGTGCGTACTAATTGAACACATGGAAGGGGCTTCAAAGGGTCTACGCAAGGAATGGATTTAAGAATCCGATATGAGGGCTTTGAGCTTTTCGGTTTACAGAATAGGGCTTCAACGGATGATTGTCGAAACGGTGTGAGAACGGCTTCAGGCTTTATAGTAAGGGCCTCTAGCGGCTTTCTCGGATTTCGGATCTATAGGGGTTCCATAAGGGTTTAGGGTGTAGGGCTCTCCTTTGCAACAAAGGGCTTCATGGTTGTTTGTCAGGGTTCCTTTGGGGGCCGACTTTTTTTTAAAGCAAGGCGGCAAGATGTGCTCAAGAAGGTTGCGAGTTCAGGGTTATCCTTTGCAGCCAAGGGGCTTACGGGATTCTAGGAAGGTTCCAGAAGTCTTCTACTGGGCTTAAAGGATTCTCACTTAGACTTTGGATTATGAGCGTTTTAGAAGGGTTCTATCAGGGCGTACAAGGGTTTACCCCTCTGTACGATAGTAGGAGCCAAACCCGCAGCTTTAATTGTCTGAACTTGGCCAGGACCAGAGCTTCAGAGGTGAATTTACAAATGCCTTCTGCTCGTATGCAAGCAGGCATGCATGCATCCATCCATGCATACATGCACGACACGCACACATGTGCGTGCGTGCATATGTCTGCATTTGTTCACGTGTGTATACGAACAAGCCTTTTTGAGGGTGTGTGCCTTGATTACTCGTGGGATCAGCGAAGCTCGTGTAGGAGTGACACTCAAGGCCACAAGCACTCAACTCTCAAACTTAAAAAACTGCGTGAGAAATAGATATTAATATACTACCAACACAGGCACATGCTGAAGCATATCGCAGGGTCGTTGGAGGCCCAGTCGGCACTGACAGCTTCGGCAGCTGCAGTGTTGCAGCTGAAGGCCTCCATCAGCACCTCAGAGACTATGCGCCTATGCTTCAGTCAACCTATAGTCTCCATTGTAGTTCCGTTTCTGGGTTAAGCATCTTTATAGTTCGCATCCTATATAAGGTAAGCCCTAAAAGGAATTACAAGGGAGACTACAGGTAATTTGTACACTCAGGACATGAAAACAAAGCAGAACCTTTGACGAACACTTACCAACATACATGATCACGACTTGTGTGTTCCTCATTCTGGTCGACCGAACCCAGACAGCAACCGACTGCAGATGCCTTAGAAGAGGTTTGGGCCCAGCCAATGCTTCCCACCATGAAATAACCCGAAGCCCTCCGCCACGCTTCGTGGGGGGTTATTCACTGCTCCACTTCAAGCCCTACACTACGCCGACAACAAAATTTAGCTTGAGACCACCACACCTCTCAAGGATCCTACTTATGCAAGTCATTCGTAAACCGAAAGCCCTGCAGCGTTTCACGGCAGTAGACCCTAAGACAATAGCGACATGTTGTCTACAAAGTTCCCACCGTGATGTCAATATAAAAAGTTCCAACCTCTCCCCCAGCCTACGGTACCAGTGTGCGACGAGAGCCGCAACTCTCCCCCGAAATCTAGGCACGGCCATACTTATGCAGCCCGCGCCTGCTGCGCACTCGCCCGATCCAGCAAGACCAGCTCGAGAAGCCACGCGGCTTTCTGATCCATCTCCCGAACTAGCCTTCGAAGCCCAGGGCGCCCAAGGCCCAAGACCCTTCAACGGGCTTAACTAAGTGTTTCTGTTGCTGTGGGCTTAAGGATAAAGAGCTGCCTTGAGCTACTGTGAAGGGGCTCCGCAATGCGACTTAATGCTCAACTCTGTAGCTCGAGAGTCTTGGGCTCGCTGGAGGGTTTGCGGGTCGTCGGGGTCGATAGGGTTTAGGGTACACTTGTCACGCTATCACTATACCATCATTATCCCGGCTATTCTTCTCAGTGTACGTACTGTTATATTCCTATTATTACATTCTCTGTTTATGTCTGCGACTGACCACCAGAGCTGCCCTTCTGGGGCCGTGTTGGGGATCCAACAGTTTCGGAGATGAGTTAGGGCGAAGGGTTTTTTCCCTCTCGCACGGCTGAGGATCTATGCCCACAAGCGAGGAAGACTTGGTACAAAGACGCACTGTGCCATCGCAATACAAAAGGGTTTAGGGTTTGGGGATCAACCAGTCACCCGGACACCGGAAACCCCACTATAGTTACACCATGCTTCTGCCAAAACATACTCCTAAACATAAACAGTAACAGTATGTAAGCCATCCAAGGATCAGTTTCGGTGGTCTTCGCGCCACCACCGCATCGATGGGAACACAGCGGCCATCGCTCCAGAGCACGTTCCCGGGATTCCCGCGCCAACCTGCTTCTAGAGTTTCGAAACATAGTATGCGCTGATGCTCCGCATCAAAAATCTAATACCTCTATGGTTTCAGCCGTACACCTCAAATCATATTAAGGACTGTAGTCCTAAATTGAAAGGCTTTGGGCTCTCAGGGCATGCAGCATCGGGGGACTGCTTGTAATTAGGGGCTGACAGATAGGGTACATAGGGGTCAAGGGGTGACGTTTTTGGCTTTAAACTCCTTCTTCCATCGCCCAAGACTCGTCAGATGCAGGTTACGGCTTAGTGTCTCAATCTCGGTGCTTTTCATTGGAAAAGCTCTTGAACCTGCTTTTTTCCAAGATGAGCTTTCTGCTGCTCGGGGCTCGTCATGACAGAACCTCAACCTAAAAATAGAACCCTGGTCCTGAACTAAAGAGACTTTAATCTTCAAAACCCTCAACAATAAATCCCAAAATACCTTAACCCTAAATCCCAAATTCGACACTGTAAAGCCCTTGAAATGCCGGAAGCCCTGAACTGACGAGCAGCCTAAAGAATGCAAAGGCAATCGATCAGCATTGCCCAGCAGCAAGTCCAGGATAAACCTGGGAATTCGTTTCTTTCATGACGGCTTCTTTGAATTAGGGCTGTCTGCCCCACTATAAGAGCTCTCCAAACTACTGCGACTTCAGCTACTATGCCCCACGGCTCTCCCACTAGGTGGGATGACGGGAAAGAGGGCGCCATGGGCCTTCGATTGTGGAAACGATGGCTCAACCTTAATCGCAAACCCTCGGCTTCAGCCCCATGATGGCTCAACCTATGGACGGGGCTCTAAATTCAAGTCCCTCTCTAGGTCCCCAAGTAGTACGGAAGCCTCATTGAAAGGACACTACCAGGGACCCTCATTTATAAAACAGTATCAAGAAGTTCCAACCAAGTCAGGGTTTAAGGTTTACCTGGAACCCAACATATGTAGAAACATAGCCTTAAGTGGGTGTTGGGCCAATATACTTTACTTCGGGGCCGAGTACCTTCGCCCAAAAAGGTTATAACCTTTGAATTATGTTAGGTTTCGATAAACCCCAGAAAGTTAAAGGTTACCAACTCAGCCCCAAGGTTCAGGGGCTCTAGGTAGAGGGTTGTACCACAGGGGAACCGAGCAACAAGCGGCCCAATTTGTGGCAAGCATTGGCCAGATTCGGCCCTTGGAAAGTCTCCACTTCGCTTTCCAGGTTTTGACCAGGAACGAACTGCAGCAGCAGCATCGACATCCTCAATGTGGTAAAAGTCATCGGGCTCTTCGGTCTAGGGTTTGGGACTTAGGATTTGTAGTCCTATGGCTTCTGATCTGAGTGTGTCCAAACGAGGGGTAGCTCGCGACTTCGCACAACAGCGGGCTCCGGTAGATCGCGCAACCTGTCTGGTTGAGACAGTCTGCAGAATTTGCAAGTGCGAAAAAGGCAACTTGTAAGGATCTTGTGCTGAGAATTTTGTGCAGCACAGATGTGAGTGAACAGCTTTGAAGCTTCTCGTATGCCAGTCCGAAGATGTTGAAGCACTCGTTCTCAATCTGCTGCCGCCTCCTTCCGTCTTTCCCCAAACTATCTCATCCCTCTCCTGAACCCGGCACCTTCAGCAATGAAAGGCTTGGTCGCTAACTGCGTGGCAAGCATCTTCTTCTGGAGCACCTCTGCCAGTGGCGGGCAAACCTGCACGGAGCCAACCGGCACACCAATCAGGAAAGCTATGACCATGATCAGCAGCAGCACCGCAACCGTCGCGTCATTACTTACCATCATCACCATCTTCCTTTTCATCAGCATCATCATCATCGGCATCGTCATTATCATCATGATGATCAACTACAACAGCGACGAAAACAACACTAGCACAGTAGCTGAAACTTCTCGCCAACCGCACTGCAGCCACCAGCAACCCCCGCTAGCATCGCCAGCATTGGCATCATCCTCCTCGTCTTTTTCCTCCTCCTCCTCAATCCTGAACCTCCTACTCCTTATCACCATCATCATCATCAACAGAACCAAGAAGACGGTCGACAACAAGAATTAAGAAGCCCAGAACCAAAACATAAGTAACAAACAATGCAACTACGGGCATGGTACCCAGGCAACAACCGACAAAACGAAACAACATCCACGCCTCCGAGACTTCTTTTTGTTGGTCGTGTTGTGTGTGGTTGTTGTTTTGATTGTTTTCCAAGTATATACAAAAAAATAGAAGCCAAATACAACGTACCTCCCCGCGTGCCCCACTGCCCATCCCTTCCCCCACGCCAGAATTTGCCTCTTTGTTCTTGCTGTTGTTTGTGCTTGTTCCTGTTGTTCCTTCTGTTTGTTTGTCTTGTCTTGGATTTCCAGAGATTCCCGTAGCTTCCACCTCTCAGCTCTAGAATACGCAGAATCCCGGGTGTTGGGGTATCGTCCTCTCCGTATGGAATCATCATGGCTGCAGTGTTCTGAAGAAGAAGGTGTTACGACAATGGTGAGGAATGCTCGTCTAGCCTACATCGAGCCCAGCCAAGACACACCCTTCGTGCGTGCGCCGAAATTGACGCCCTGAAATCCGGCTGTACGACCGGGAGACCCATCGATTCCCTAATCCAGCGTACTTGGGACTCTGCATCTCTTAGCCCGCACACCGTCAGCCCTGAAACCCGAACCCCTGAACCCTAAACCAAAGCTCCAAGCACAAACCTCTCAGCCTAAGCCCTAAAGAGCAGAAGCCCGAAACCTCAATACCTTTGAATGCCAAATTCTTACGAAGCCACCCCACAACCACTATACCGAGGGTGTTTGAAGAGAAACACTAGCACAACCATCATGAAGACACTGCTAGTTACCCCTAGACCTCCAGCTGCTTCAATAGCAGGTTACCAAACTAATCGTATAATGCATAGCCCAGTAACCCATTATTTGGGCAACTGGAGCGCTGGTACCTATACTAAACCCTTAACCCTAAACCCCCTAAACCCCCTAAACCCTTAAACCCTAAACCCCTAAACCCTAAACCCTTAAACCCTAAAGCCTTAAGCCCTTAAACTTCCCCAACCCATGAAGCCTCCAGAGCCCTGGCACTTAGCTGCTCCCACTCCTGGGAAGCTCCACCCCTAAGGGTTCAAGTGCCCACAGAGCAGTCTATTAGGCCTTACTAAGGAGATCATATATAGGTAGTTTAGGGCCTAAGAATCTACTAAGATCCTTTGGGTCAGAACTGCTCTGACACTTCTTCGCTGGCTAGGATTTAAGTTTAAAGGCTGTCATTGTGACACATGGTTATGACATAGTTGGAGTCAGGTTTGGGGTATATTATAGTACAGTATAACTATATAGGGACAGGGTCGGACAGAAGTTGGATGTTTCCAAAGTAATGACACCTCTACACACCTCTACGTCAGGTGCGAATCTTTCTCGCAGGAGTTCTTGTTAATGCTAGGCTTCGGCTTGGGTTCATGGTATGGTTTACAGAGACTTAGCAGTCTAAAATTTTACAGAGCTGTAGGAGCTAAGGGCTAAGGGTTTAGGGGACGAGGGTTCTGGGAAGCTTGGCCTCTTCAACAGTATCTCCGAGGCCTCAGGGCGCTGTGGAGTCTAATATCTCAAAGTTTGTGGGGCTCAGGGGTTTTAGGCTGAAGATAACGTTACCGACGATGATGATCAAAGAGAAACTGCTGATCGTTGGGCCCGAAGCCCCAGACCCCAAAGCTCTCCTTCTCTTCGGCAGATACATTTCATGTCTTCGAATCCCAGCTTCGGCCTGCGATTACTGCGGCCAAAATTCTGCCGTATCGTGCGGCTTCAAGAGGATCCGCGAAGCCGGGCCGGGCACGCCTAGAAAGGGATTCAGGGTTCTAACAAGGCAGGATCTCCAGGAGAGGTGCACAGCAGAAAAACGCTGGTCGCAGCACGCGATGGGTTCCTAAAACAGCACTTAACTCACAACCCCGTCTTCATGACTGTTTTTGGCGGCTTGAGGAAACGCTGCTGTGTCACGTCGGAGGCATACTACCGTACTTACCAGCCCTACGTTTCAAACCTGCCCACACAGCAGTTTTTGGGCATCCGTAATTCTGGAGGAGCTACACGACATCTCCTCTGCCAGTCTCACAATCGTCTGCCTGAACACCAAAAGCCAGGTCATGTTGATTCTCTCCATCGGCGCTTGAGCAAGAGTTTATGCTGCAGCCGTGTCGAAATTGAGTTCCTGGGCCTTGCTGGTTCCCTTTTATTGGGTGAGGTAGGGATTAAGCGAAGACTTCCAGAGTTGACTCTCGGGCTCTGTTTGGCGCCAACCCGTTCAGAGGATGTCGTGAAAGGGGTGCTGAGTCTTAAACTTGAAATGAACTCTCGCAGCCAAGATACCTAACTGCCGCGCAAGCTCAGCTGCCATCTGCTCTGATTGCAGGATGTAGCGGTTGTTGCAGAATTTGAGCACGACGGCCTGAAAACGAAGGCAGAAGAATAAGTAAGTAGTAGGAGTAGGAGTAGGCTAGGAGTAAGAGTAGAGAAGTACTAGTAGCTAGTGGTACTAGTATGTAGTGGTAGTGGTAGTGGTAATAGCAGCGGTAGGGGCAGTGGTAATGGTATGGGTCGTGGTCGCGTCGTCTTCCGCCCCGCAAAGCCCCAAAGATTACTAAGTTTACCTAGACGACGAAGACGGTTAGCGGGTCTCGATTCCCGCCACCAGTGGTAGTGGTAGTAGCAGTAGCAGTAGCAGTAGCGGTAGCAGTAGCAGTAGCAGTAGTAGCAGCAGCAGCAGCAGCAGCAGTAGAAGCAGTAGCAGTAGCAGTAGCAGCCGCATTAGCAGCAGTCGTTCGTAGTAGTGAGCTCTCCATAATGATGTCATGCAGTCTGTGTGGTGACAGCAGAACTTGGTTGGTCGTGTGTGGCTGGCTTGCTGGCTGGCCGTTTTGCTATTTAGTTGTTGTATGTATGCGTTTGTTGTCAGCTGGCTGATTAGTCGCTGAATGTGTGTGAATAAGTGTGGGTGAATGAGGGTTAGTGAGAGTGAGTGAGAGTGAATGTGAGTGCGTGAGATTGGAATTAGTGACTGCGGTTGAGTGAGCGTGAGTGAGATTGCCTGAACCGCAAAGTCATTGAGTGAAATTGTTACAGTCCCCGTTGCTGCTTTTGTTGCTGCTGGCTGGGAAAGCCTCTCCCTGTGCCCATCACGAGCACCGCACTTTGCAAGACAGACCCGGCAACCTGCACCGGTCCCGAGCTGCTGCTGTTGCTTGTCTCGTGGAAAGGCTGTGCGACGACATATCAGATCAGTCAGTTTTGGCAATGACACACACGCACACTTACGTGTATGTGTGAATGTATGAATGCATGAATGTATGCATGTATGCATATATGCATGTATGCATGTATGTGTGCATGTACAAACAACGCCACTCGCGGAGGCTGCTGCAGGAATCGGGCAGCCGTTTCCGTCATGGGGGGGGGTGCCAGGCACTGGAATGGGCCTGAATTGATGTCTGGACCATCCCGGTTCCTCCCTGTGTGCAGGAGTCAACCATCCAATGCTTTGCAAACTGAGTATGTTGGTACATACCCGTCGCAACTTCATAGTCCTGGATAGGCAACCACTAGATACCCCACAGCTACCGGACGACAAGACAAAAACAAGGACACACAGAGACGGACACAGGCAACAACAAAACCGACACAAACGACAAAGCAACACAGACCGTCACACACGCATAAACAGGCAACCACACATGTGCGAATGAACATGCTAAAAACCTAAGTAACTGAGCACAACACCATCGGAGACTTTCTTCTCTGCCTGCTCCCCATGGGTTGAAGAGAGCAGGCCAAAGAACACCTGGCCACCGCTGTTGATCTCGACCTTCCCTGCCGACTCATCCTCCAAGGTCTGCAGGCTCCAACTTAAGGTTTTATAAGGTTTAACTAGGGCTTATAGGGCAAATATGGTGGTAGGACAGTAGGGTAGTGGTCGGGGCGCGGTGCTGGGAGTCTGGAGGGTTGAGATTTCAATCCGCAGGAAAGTTGAAAGTCTTAGTAATCATGGTGTCTAATCGCTAACCCGCCCGCTAACCCCAAACCCTGAACCCTCAACTGTCCTCTTCACCCTTAAGGCCGAAAGAAGCCTTAAAGCCCTTCCTTGTCCTACTCACCTGGTCTTGCAGTCCGAGTCCTCCGCATCACGTGCCAGGGCCTCTGTCGTCTCGGCGGCCGCTAGCGCGGTCCAGTCCAGTGCGCCTTTCAAAAATTTCCCAGGGGGAGCACACGACGAGGGGTTTCGGCTTCGGGTCTAGAGTGCCTTCAGGTTTTTAAACAGGGGTTAGAAGGTTTCAGCATCTCAGAGAGTCATTTGTATTTCCGGCCCCGAAAATACTTGGGTTAAACTGAGTCGTTGTCAACGATGGCTTGAGTTCGGCTTCAAACGGTGTTCTTGGCCTCCCGTGTTGCAGAGTTCAGACGCTTCGGGACTTCGTCGCTTCAGTGCAAACTCTCCGCATTGACCTTGCTTTTGCAGTAATTTGAAGCCTCATAGGGCCAGAGATGCACTCCCCTCGAATACACAAATGAGGCATGCAGGCTCGGTTTATGCGGCTTGTTTCGCTGGTTGCTGAGGGTGGCACTATTCCGCAGATTGGACCAGTAACAAGCCCAGCCCCCTCCCCTTCCCCCCACCCGCACAGCCCGCACATGAAGAAAACACACGAAGCTCCGAACTAATTATCTTCCGGCAAAGTATTTGATCCAAGCCCGTAGCAAATTCAGCGCAGCTTCGAAACAAAAGCAGCAGTCAGCGCCATCAGCTGTTGCAAACAAACACAAGCATGATCCCAAAGGTTCAAGTAACGGTCTAGCATAGACTTTGAGGGTCGAAGTACCTAAGAACCCGCGATGTTGGTACTTGGACCCTCTGGGTATCATGATACCAACGAAAGTGCCCAGATCAGTGCAGAAGATGCTTCCTAGGCCATAGCCTTGAAAGTCGCCAGAGGTTGGGGGTTAGAACTTATAGGGTTTAGAAAGAAGGCGTCCCTGTGATTAGACTAAGGTTTTAGGATATCTTGTGCTATGATAAGTATAATTATATGAAGCGCAACCGTAAGGAGTGATATTCCTCATCATTCAGGCCCCCAAGACCACGATCTGTGCGACTAGGGCTGACATCGAGAGGTTTCCTGCTGGAGGGTTGGCAAATTGGGCTTAGAAGATTCTTAGATGGGTTGAGGAGGATTTCAGGCTCAGAGGTGGTTGGGTCGAGAGTGTAGGATTGTCCCCTCCTTGACTATGGAAACCAGTCTCCCACCGTCTTATGCAGGCTTAGGATTTGGGATGATATGCACTGCAGGAGCCCCTAAAAGCACAAGACAAAACTCTCAAAGGCTATCCCCCTACAATGGAAAAGACTTCAATCTCTATGCCTAAAACCCTAAAGCCCTAAAGGTTTAGGGCTGCACGGAGACAGGAGGCTCTGGACGTCTCGCGCAGGGGTCGCCCGGGCCAGCCGATCTCGAAAAGGCAACGACGCAGGGCAAAGCGTGCGCATGAGCAGGTTCGATTGAAAGTGTGAGGGAACCTGGTCCGAGCTCGGGGTTTTCGGATCTGAGATAATCTAGCCGGAGCTTTTGGAGGGTCTGCTTTTCTTCTCGGTGGTTGATGCAAGGCGACCCGGCTCCGGACGGAGATGGTTCAGGGTCTATAGGGGTAAGTTGCAAGCTGTGCTATGTGGCTTGCTTCTCCTCGATCTGAAAGATGGAGGTGTCGGATGTTTTTCACAGTCAAAAGAGTCCTGTGACAAGAGCCTGTGGGGCTTAGTCATAGATTTGCTACATCTCGGCAAGGGGCACCTTCCTCATAACCACGATCACACATATCCGGAGCCTGTCCCAGCATTTCTCAACACACCCTGGGCCCTCAAGCCCCTGATCCCTGAACCCGTCCAACCCATACTTGAAGAATCCCACCTCAAACCCCTGTGCCCTGCATGGGTTCAGGAGGGCTTGTGGCTTGCAGGGTTGTGGATTCATTCGCGTTTATGTTGCTAGGCGTTGAGCATGTAGGCCGCTATACCATTTCTGAGATGCCAGGACATCAGAGACGTAGCTTGGCAAGGTTTCAAGTAACCTGCCAGAGACTTCCGGCTCGCGGTCTCTCTGCAGTTGTCCTACACACCAGACACCCAATAGCATCGTAACTACTAAACACTAGGTCCTAAACCCCTAACTTCCAGCCTTCCTGGAAGTGCATCTTGCGCAGCTACTCTTTGCAGCCCAGGGATCCCACCAAACATCGGGGAAAAAATGGTCCAAAATTATAGGGATTCAGCTTCCGGATACCATGGCGCGCACGGAAAAAGCGCCCGAAGGTTGCATTGACCCTTTTGGGACTGGGGGCTCCCTGTAAGGCTCAACCCGATGTCAAGCCTACACCCAAAAACAGCCCAAACTGAGGCTCCCGTGGGCTGCCTCGCTGAAGCAGGGAGACATACCCTCGTCCTCTTGAACAAAGGAGGCCATGTCTTCGTTGTTCTCCTGGCTCCCGGCTCCGGTCTCTCACGACTCGCACAAGGCAGGGTTCAGGGCTTTGGGCTCTGGTGTTTAGGGATGTTGAAGGTTGTTTTGACCATCCAAACCAAGTGGAGACTACCTACTTTTCATAGCCCTGTCAAGCAGGTCTGCGCGTTTCCGTCAAAAACCCAGCTTCCTCGTCGTTCATTGATTCTCTGTTGACGGATGCTACAATGATCGCGGTCCTCTTGTTGAGCGGAAACCCTGTACTGAGCAGCTAGCTTCATTCAGTTGTATCGCAATGACGAGTATTTTATAACGCTGAGAGGAATCAATTGCGTGGTGCGCCAGCGATTGATTCAGAACAAGATGTCCTACCGACACCAGCTACCCGTGCATCAAAAAGCAGGTTAGCATCTGTGGGCCCTTAAATGTAACCCTATTGCGCAGTGACCCATTTTTCAGGTAAGTGCTTGTCTAGTCTAGTCAGTCTAGGACCTAGGAACAGATTCAACTGAAACCTCAGCATTCTCAACATTCATCTTTGGCTACTAATTCAAGAACCTGAACCCTAAAAACCCTAAACCCAAAAAACCCTAAACCCTGAACTTCCGAAACCCTGAAGCAGGTTGGGTTGCATGGTTCTTCTGGGAGAGGCCTTGGGGACCTCAGACCGCCGCACCCCGGGGTGTGTGGAGGAGCTCTCTTTGGAATCGCTTCTGCGGTTTTTCATACGTCTTTTACTATCGCTTAGCCACGGTTTAGGGTGTAGAGGGTGCATTTTGGGGGTGGGGGAGTCGGGTCGCGTTTCTGGCTTGTCTGGTGGTGGGCTCAGAATCAGCTTGCATCTCGAGTTCGAACCTCGGCTTTCTCTCGTCCTACCGAAACCGCCTTTTTT